CCCCCCATCTGCTCAGCTACCATCGGGTTGGCAGTTTGATTTCTGGAAGTGGGAACATCGGTATCCACTCTAGGGACTTTTAGGTCTTTGCCTTCTAGTAATAGCAGAGTTTCCCGTTAGGAACATAAGTAAAAATAGCCATTTCTTAACTTGGACGAGGTTACGGCGGAAGTGTTTGGACGAGATTCCCGCCGCTGCAACGTGTGTTAGATATTAGCGTGTGTCAACTGAATGCATTTACAACAAACGTGCTCCATCACGAATCATCTCTGATCTACAAGGCCGCCAAAGACGTCCTTTGTTGGGAGGAACTACCGAGAAACAGTTGAGACCGTCGTTTAGCCCTTAAGGTACAGTATCCAAAGAGCTTTTTGCCCTCTGGTGTCCCTGTAACTTCACACTTGGGCCACAGCTCCTAAGCAAAGACATTTCCGTGGGAGCTTTACTACTAGTTGTCCCTGCTACTATCACTCCTTTGAAAAGTACTTACTCATTAATGTTACGCCTCGTTCTTGATGGAATCACGGCTTCTACCTTCACGTGAGTCATGTCCACATGGTCAATCAACTCGTCCTTTTCCCATCCTGATTCAGAGCTTCCAACTGAATCACGATAAGTATCGGTTCTTTCGCTACTACTTCGTCGTCGTCGTCTTCTTTCCCATCTTCTTTCTTTCTCGCCATCCGGGCTCGAGGAATCTCGGTGTTTGCTAAACATATCAGATTTTTGCGGGGTATTCTGCAGCCAGGGAAGAGGGAGAGTAAATCTTTTCGTCAGTCTGGCAGAATATGCTGATGAGTACCACTTTTCAGTCTATGGCAGGTTGGGTTTTGTCGTGCTTAATTGGATTACCTAACCTTTTAGTTTCTCCTGTTCCGCATCTACGACGTAGTGTGAGGAAGCCCACGAAGATAAAGAAGGCCACGCATGCCAGAGCAAGGAGGAGAACGTACTTCCAGTATTTGGTGATGGTACCTAAACCATTTACAGCAGTAGTTCTTCCGCGAAACCGCAATAGCAAATGAAAACATATGGACTGGTCCGTAGTAATCAACAAAGTAACCGAACCAGGCTCTGAGGTCGTGTCGTCGTCTGTCAATTCCACTCTATTACACAAGTTTCTATTACAACAGCAGGGTAGCCTTCCAGTATTGCAATGCTCCGTTATTGTGGGAGTAAGAGATTCACAGCTAGCCGCATCCTGAGTAATAACGGTTAGGTTTAGGCTTAGATTTCCATGGACTTCTAGTTGTCTGTAGCGCCATTGCTGGGAAACATTTCATTAACCGACAAACAATTCGACAGTTTCCTTTTTTTCCCCCTTTTCAGTACCATCTATAGGCTTAAAGGCACAATTCACTTTAGAACTTGTTTCTGGGATCCCGTAGGATGATCGTGCGCCCTCGACGGATAGCCTAAGGGATGCTGTCGGGTCGCAAGACAATCAAGATAGGGCGTAATAAGGGCCCGGAAACCGGCTAGCTGACGTACACACCCAAGATGGATGAGTTGTAAACGTTGTGAAAGCTGCGGAGGTTGCACAATTCGCACCG